GCACAAAATTAGTCGAGAGTAAGTTTTTTCAGAAAAGCATCACCGACCCAAAAAAAATAGAAAACAGAAATTGGCGTTCGAAGGTAACGTCCAGCTCTTCACACATTTGTCTAAATCACGAGTTTAGAGCCATCAATTTGAACGTAACATTTGAAAGACAAGAAGAAGAGAAACAAAGAAAAAAAGTAATTGTCTCGTCAGTCATGATTTTGGAGCCATCAATTCAGCATTTTACTTCGTAATTGGCTTTAAACAAGGGATAATTTCAGAAACCTCCTTTGAGATTTCTAACAATTTCACTAGCCCCTCTTGAAGTTTATAAAAGTACACAAGCCTCCCTTGAGATTAAGGTTTTTATAACAAAATTAGTCCAATTAGAAAAAGTAGTATTAAAAAAGTATTTTAAATAGAGAGATGAAACTTTGACGCCATAATTACTCCTTATATATATATTTAATGGTGATAGTGTAATCTTATATACACTCATAATGTATATACTATCACCATTAGATTAGATATATGACACATGTGCAAAATTTGTATTAGAAATCCAAAATTTGCTCATGTATCATCCATCCAACCGTGATAGTGTATACATTGACAGTGTATATAAAATTTATTCTAAGATCAATCCATATAATTATTGAATTAATACTCTATACACTGACAGTGTATATATTTTCACCATTATATGAATGATACCTAATCCAAATTTGAATTTGAAATCCAAATTTTGCATATATATCGTGTATCCAATTGTGATAGTGTACACACTGTCAGTATATATAAGATTTACTCATAATTATTAGATTTTATAACCTCCTATGCTTTTCGATCTACCTTTATTATATTAGACTTAGGATAACAGTAGTTTATGACCAGCTAATACTTCATACTACCAAAAACTTCTACCACAACTGGTTAATAATAATACTTCATATCTTAATTCATCATAGTTGCAAAGAAAATTAATCCTACTTATGATGATATAATGAATCATCAGATTTAACTTCCAAGTATCGTCACTCTCACCCCTAAACTCTCTCTCCCCCTTCTTTCTATCTCCAATCTTCTCTCTACTCTTTTTCCTCCATAGGAGGGGGATCTTGGCTATTAATCAAGGTCTCCCTTTCTCTTACTTTGTTCTCCCTTTCTATTTCTTTGTTCTTACTTTTATTTAATAAAGTCTCTTATAGAGTATTCTAATGAGAGTTTTCTTTTCTCTCAAGCTATCATAGTGAGAGTTTTCTTCTCTCCCGTACTATCCTGGTGAGAGTTTTGTTTAGTTTTTATTTTTTGGCTATTTATTTTCTCAGATCTATTTATTAGATCTAAAATATCTTGGATTTTCTCGTCAGATCTCAACATCAGTTTTGAACTTAAACCAGTTAGATAGCAAATATGAGGGAATAGACATGCATAGATATCTATGGAGCGGTTCGTTCAATTGGTCAGATTTGATGATGTGTGATTCACAGTGTGACAGCCCCACCTTCCCCTAAGGCGAACCAAAGGGTTAGCGGACTGCCTGTCCAACTCTCGCCAGGACTAACGGTGCAGTTTAGAGCGGTCTATCGCGTTCCGGAACTTATAACGAGCGTAAACAAGTCACAATGGCAAAATAACCCAAAAGAAAAAAATGAAATCCGGAGTCGGCCATGAATAGTAACTGACCCGTCAGAACCCAACCATACATCAAAGATACATATACAACATCAAATTCAGCATTTACAAGCCAAAATGGAATATGAAAGGTACTCAAAATTAATACATGTACGGTTGCCATAATAAAAGTGAAAACGGCCCCAAAGGCACATGTAGGGTTTCAACTCATAAACTATACAAAAGGGATATTCATTTAGTTCATTCGACAACTAATTATCAAAAGTCATTCCATAAGCAGTCAGATTCCTGTAAGGAAAACAAAAGGAACGGGGTGAGCTAATTGCCCAATGAGATAATACTACTCAAGCAACCAAGTTCATATGGGCATCAAGCTTTTCATTCCAAGTCATCAAAGGTAAATAAAACACACATCAATAATGATGATAAAAGGATATGGACGGCTCTCAAGAGCCCTTTTTTTCTCGTTTGCATTCTTGATCAGATCATCTTCTCATTGACTCTCCGTCAATGTTTAAAAGTAACCAACCGTAGACTTCACTTAACTCCCACTCCTTCCACCTAACATCCCCCTACCGGGCCCGAACTCCAAACACTTGCACTGTGGTATTACTCGAGTATACCGGAATCGAGAGTCTCTCATACTACAAGATTCCTTATAACTTTATCCAAGACTCATTAATTGTCACGACCAAACCCTTGCCGGCTCGATTCAATCAATTACCAATGGGGTTGAACTCAATGGTAACAAGTATGGTCGTTGGATACTCGTCCAAACGCCACCAAGTCAAGTACTTTTCATTTCATGTAACATTTCTTGTAACATTCCAATAACATGAGAAATAGGTGAGAGTGATAAACTACACCCTCACTTCAATCAATATCAATGAGACAATAAACATTTAACTTATCAAGTTCAAGTATCAAAACCATATAGTAACACACAAGTGAGTAGTACACTCACCAGGGTCAGTGCAGATACCTCCCAAAAGAGAGCTTTAATTATCAAGAAACCCTAAAATAATCCAAGGAAAACAATTGAAGGTTCCACTTTCAAAATCGAGTATACAGAATGCACATGTGAGGCTCGACTACCAGTCGTATGCCTCGCCAAATAATTACTAAAGCAAGGGTGCAAAACATGATTTTTGGTAATGAAAAGGTAACATGAAGACCTACGCTCAAACAACCCAAAAGCCCTTCATTCAAATCACAAGTAAATCCAACTAGTCTTCAAGAAAAATTTCGGCAGCATATCCCTTGTGTTTACCTATTTTTCAGCCATCATGGCTTCATTATTTCCTCAAATCAGTCTCAACAGTTCGTACAAAAATAATCTCATTCCCAAAAGCCGTTCACTAGGCTTAATGGCATTCAAGTACAAAATTTAGCTAGGAAATGACCGGATATGAAAGTCAAGCCCTAAACTATTCAAATAAACACAATAAGACTCGATTACAAGTCATAAACCAATTCTACATACCACCAAAACAGGGTTCCCTAAACATACACAAGCAATAGAGGAAACCAGAAAATCCGAAAATAGAATTAGCTTTGCCTTGAAAAAAATAGTTTTTGACCTCTTTTTGCGGTAATGGTACCCAAGGCACTACGGTTACCGGATGAAGGTGCAAGACCCACCGTTTCGAAGCTAAGAGATAGGGATAAAATATTGCAGAAGGTCATTCAACCCAGTTTCGAGTGTAACCAGGTCAAAAATGTAAAATACTACACCAGAATCACAAAAACAGATTCACAGAACGCATTCTAGCGGAAATATCATAAATCAGGCTATCCAAGTCCAAATCCAGAAATTCCAAAACCAACTGAAAGCTAAGAAACAGGGCTACATTTCATCAGAAGACCTCAACAACCAATTCTGAAGCAATTCCAGCCAAAACAACCAATTACAGGCGCAATTCCTACATTCGGGTAAAACCAGGACAGCAAGGGTAATTTCGACTTTTCTCATTCTACGCTACTCTGATTGACCTGAAATTTTGTAGGCACCTCTAAAATGTCATTTCCTACAACTTTCATGTTTTAAGCCAAGGCCAATTCGGTCTCTAACTAGGAGCTACAAATTCGGGCAGAATGTTCCCTAACCAAAACCTAACTTTCCAAAATTTCTTCCAATTCAGCAATTGTTTGCAATTAACCACTTTTCCGACCTCTTAGAGTCATTATATACCATTTCCAATCATCATAGATAGCCACACAATCATGCTCATATTAAAATAGAAAAATCCCCAAAAATAATAAAATTTCATCACTACAACCACAAATCAAGAAATAATCCATAAACTTGCATCTCATACTACCACTAAGCATGATTTAAGCATCAATTAAGGGAGGAGAGTAGTTCTTCACCACTCACCTTAGAAACAAGAGAGAGAGAGCAATAGGTCCTCTTAGCTTTCCAAATAGCTCCACAAATCAACTCACTAACACTAATTGAAGAGGTTTTATGGAGAAATTGCAAGTTTCAATGGTTAGTTGGATGGATTTGAGCTAAATGGAAGCAAAACTTGAAGAGTTTCTTCCTTTCTTTTTGAGAGAAAGAGCCGGCCACAATGAAGAGCAAAATGGGGAAATTTTGGTTATTTTTTGATTTATTTAGTCAATTGGTAAGACCATGAATAGTGGTCTTAAAGGTAAACCCACTTAAATGGTGACACTTGTCACCTTTTATTAAATACTTACCTAACTTGTCTCTCTTATACCAATCCACTTAGCACCCTCTACTTATCTCTTAACACCCGGTAAATTAATTCCAGTTTTCAAAACTTAACCGAGTTGGCCGAATTTTTTCGAACTTCTCGCACTAGTGGGTCCCACGTCCGGTATACGCTCTTAATTTCTAAAAAAACTATTTGATACTAGAAAAATCATCTAAAAACTATGGCTGTGTTTGGTTCGATTGTTTTTGGCAAAAACTGTGGCTGTAGTCAAAATACAATTTCAGTCAACCAACTTTTTTTTAAATGCTACAGTCCCGGTCCTGGTACACGGCGCCGTTTAGGAGCCAAAATGACAAAACAAGTTTTGAGGTGTATTGTCCTTCCGTTCCTCCTCGTTATTTTCTGAGTTAAACTGTATCGAGCAACTACGAGGCTCATCTTCACTTTCCTCTTCTAAGCAGCATCAACAGTAGAGCAGACACTTGAATGTTCAAATCACCGGTTCTACCCCAGCTGATCTGCTTGTAATGCTGCTGTCATCGTCGCCGCAAGTGAACAGTTAGCTGGTCCCTCCACAATTTGCAACTTATCTGCAGCATAACATCGGGAGAAGGAAGCTGAACCTCCGCTGCACCTCGGACATGGGAGGTAGTGGAATTGCCCAGAAAATCATTCGAAGCTGCTTGCTGAAGAGCTTTCTTCCCTTATTTCCAAGTCGCGGCCAAGGAGTCTCACCGCCGTTGCTCATCTGTTGCTTCGTCGAGGTGAGTTTGTACTGTTGAGCTAATTGGGGCCTTAATTCGTACGAATTAGGGCTACAGTAATTAATGAATGTGGTTGCTGTTTAATCCTATTCTCTGAAAAATCAGCGGGCGATAGTATATGGTAGAGACAGAGGATCAATTAAGAAAATGTGGATTTGCCTTGTTTGGACTGACATTCATGCTTCTTCACTTAACTTCTTTATATTGTGCGGCATTCCATTTTTCATTATTGGCTTGTTTTGGTTCGCCATCTCATCTTAGCAACTCACAATTGGAGCTTCACCGTTATCTTGCCTTCGTGATAATTCCCGCATGTGTCCAGAGTATGCTAAATTAATTGTTAGCAAGAGGGAAATGGTACACAGTGGCACCATATTAGCTGATAAACGTGCTTGGCTGCTTTAAATTGTTCGGCATGCATAGGAGAGTTTTTTTAATAAGCTCATGGTATACGTGTACCCTGTTAATGGGAAGAATATTGATACTATGAAGTGGATTAGATGTTTGATCGATTGCTGTTGTTGTCGGCTGAAATTGATCAGTTTTTCTGCCACATGAATCTGTAGGTGGGGTGTTGTATCTACATTTACATTTCGGATAAGGAATTTGATTAATTGGTTGTACTTATTAAGCACCAGTGCTATTTTCCCTTGAAATATTGCAATTCGATTACTGAAATATTCGTCCCTAGCGTCATGTGACTGGCATGCATTTATTTGGTCGTTGCTGTTGGGTTTGATCTTATTGGATGTTCTTGTGATCGGACTTGAGGCAATGCCATTCTGGTACCTGCAATTTTATTAGTTGGCACGTGGTATATTTTAATTTGTCCTACCGTGATTGTTTATAATTTATGCATTGAAGCTGCTGTTGCGTTTTTCAATGAATGACAACCTGTAGAGAGGGGTATATTTTTCTGCTTTAAGTGTGATGCTGTTTTGGTCCTATGTATATGATTCGTTGCATATTATAATCTGATATGAACTTCGCTAAATGGGTTGAACTGTTATTTTGGCTTCACACATAAAATTGGATGATAGTTCATATACAGTTTATGCGTTTGGCCTGCTAATAGCATTTTAGTGGTACCTTGTACATATTTTTAGGATTGTGATGCCCCCTGTGACTCGGAGTGCTTCGAAGGGTAAGGCCCAACTATTGTGACAATTAATTATTAAAAATTCTGATCAGAAACAGCTGTAGTGCTCGGCTTTTAACATCCTTATTTACAGCTTTGCAAACGACTAGGGGTGCTAACCGTTGTTCTTTATATTCGGGTACGAGAGAAAACGATTTGCGTCTTTGTATAACAAACTACTTCAAGGTGAGTTATAACTGACTAGGTGAAAAATTTCTGTAGATGCTGTCCCAATATTGGCTTAGATTGTATCTAATTTCCCGTTTACGGCGACCCTAAGCCTGTTTTCTGGTTTTGACTTTCCTAAAGAAAACAAAGATGCCCAAACCAAAAGCTCCTAAGGAACGTATCAATTTCACGCCGAAGATGGAAACTGCCATTGCTGAACAGCTTCTGAACATGCATAGGAATGGGGAAATATCATCACAGACCATCGGGAGCCACGTTGTCCCTCAGATTACTAGGATGCTCGCTGAGACTTTCGGGGTTTCATTCCCCCGCGATACTATTCGGTCGAAGTACTATGCGCTTCAGAACTTAACTAGGCTTTACATTTCGTTCAAGAAGCGTGGCACTGGTATGGGCTGGGACTCAACCAACTTCACCTTCATGATGGATGATGAGCGATGGAGTCATCTACTTCAGGTATAATACTTAGTCCTATCCTTTAGCTTATACGCTGTTATCGTTATATATTTTGTTTTATAAGCTTGGTTTATAGAATTTTGGTAGGTTTTTTGACCATTATTAGTTGTATGTATTGTTCAGCTGTGGAATTTGTATTGTTTATTTGTAAAAGTTGTTTGTTCCTAACAGCTGTTGTGTTAAATTGTTAATTGGGCTTTTGCTTATTTTTAAAACCTGTTTTCTTCTTTTGTAGGTCAACCAGGGATACAATAGATTTAGGAACCGGTGTTGTCTGGTCTTCCATTTGCTTGAAGAAGTCTTCATGAATCAGGGGGCTACTGGGGATTTTAGCGCCGGCTTTGGAGTATCGCCCCTGAATTCGGCCGATGAATTGGAAATGGAACACGCTGCGAACAGAGGTAAGGGCAAGGGGGTTGTGGATGTCGATTCATCAGATGGAGGAGATGCCGTTCCTGTGACTCGGAAAGGGAAAGAGAAGGTTAAGAAGGGCAAAGGAAAGCGCAAATCGGGGGACATGTCAACTGAGTCATTCTTCCAACCGTCCTCCCCCCAATTCCAGAAATACGTTCGGGTTTTAGACAGCATCGAGACACGATTGAGCGGTAAAGGGAGCTCTGGGATCTCCGGTTCGGTCTCTTCTCCTGCTAAGAGCCAAAAGGCTCCAGTTGATGAAGACGAGGAGCTGGTGGCTGCTTTGGCCACTTTGAGCAGTCTGAATTTGGACCGAAGTGTGCGCTTCCAGATGGCTGATCTGCTAAGGAATCGGCATGAGCGTCTCATTTGGTTCTTATGCGCGGACGACGAGGACCGCCTTGCCTTTGTCAGACATCGAGGCTTCCTCCCCCCCCTTAGCATCTCGTTCAATCCAGCCCAAAACTATTGCAGCAGCCTTCGTCTTAGTTTTTCCCATGGCTTAAATGGATTTGATCTATTCGTTTGGATTTATGTACTTGGAGTTGACATTGGCCTGTGTTATTCATTTCTTTACTGTACCGTGGACCCAATTTAGTTTTTTTTTTTTTCTTGTGAGATGAAGTTGAGGTTACAAAAATTTCGGATAATTTATTTGGTTGCGTTTATAAATGTTGGTTGAATTGTTTACTATATATTATTTGTTGGGAATGGTGCAAGGATTTTCATTTTGTGTGACAGGAGTTGCCGCTACATTTTTTCCATTATGCCGATGGTCATCTTTGTTTGTATATTTTTTAACATTTGGAGCTGGTTCAGGTTATTTCTGAATACCATCTGCATGTTCAGGGACCATCGTGTGTTAAATAATTTGAGTGTGCTTCTCAATATTGGTTGCAGTAGTGCTTCTCAGTATTGGTTGTTAGGAAATAGTGCAATGCCGTATATATTGGGGAGCCATGTTCCTAAATTAATTTTATTGGCATCATTTAATATGTATTCTTTGGATTTTTGTGTACTCACATTCACACCGGGGCCTGTTATCATTTTATCCTTGTGCCATTCAGGGAATGTTTACATAATTTACTTGTGCTGGGGATAGCAATATTGGCTGATGTTCACTAAATATCAATTGTGGCCCCGTAAAAGTGCAATGGCTAATATTTTGTGTACTCATAGTTGCCATATAAATTTTTTGGTTTTCGAGTTTTCTAGTATTAATTACTCACAGTTATTTTCTCAGATAGCTAGGTTAATGTCTGCTAATTTAAACTCCTTATAATATTTGAATTTGTTTGCTACACACTATACAATATTTACTTATTCAACTCGTGAGTCTTTATATGAAATGGTTGAACTTGTTTAATTATTTCACCTGTGTACAAGGATAGTTGACATTTTTTTTTCCATTATATTATTGGCATTCCCCAAATGTGCCTGTGAGTGTTTATAATTATTAAGTGAACTTATATACTTGGATAAACTTGTTACGAGATTTAGTTATTGCACTTTTGACACTTTGTAATAAATGGTTGAACTTGTTTAATTATTTCACTTGTTTAATCTATGATTAAGAATATTTCAGGTTATTTTAGGCATAGGGTCCTCAATATTTTGCTGTTCATATTGAGGATATTGCTATTAATTTATTTGCGAGTGTTTATAATAATGGGTTGAACTTATTTAGTAGAATTTGTTGGGGATTTCACCAATTGACTGAATTGGTTTACATGGATATCAACCTTTAAATGAGGTTGTGAGTTAACATACGAGGAATTATGTGCTTATTTCCTCTTTTAGTATTCATAGTTACACCGTTTTTGCATTATACAATTGGATATCAACCTAATGTTTTCGTGTTATTACACATATATAATGCTTGGATGTTTGTTTATTTATAATTATTTCATGGAATTTGTATCAATTGAGGTTATTAAATAATTGATAATATTTCACTTGTACTACTAGAATAGGGTTTAATGTTCTTCAATCACTTGGCCAATTTCAGAGTTCAAAGTTGTTGCTGTGCGAAGATGGACAACGATGGGCACATTCAAGGAGGTCAACTGGATGACGAGCTAGATGATGAGGAGCTCGACAACATCCTTATGTACGTCGTATTATTGGGTTTCATGTTCTTTTTCCAGGATACACATCAGCAGGTCCCAAGAAGACGAAGAGTACGAGATAGCGCGCTGTCAGGGAGAGATTATGTGCTTGAGATTATTAACGGACATGAAGACCGAATTATTCAGAATATGCGCTTGGATGTTCCTCGATTCCTTTTGTTGTGCGATTTATTGCTTAATCGGGGTTACTGGCATGCATATCCTTCTCAAAGAGTGGGGGTACATGAATCCGTTGCTTTAACCCTAATGTGCCTGAGCCATGATGAGCGGCACCGGGTGTTAGCCGAGCGGTTCCAGCACTCAACGGAGACGATTGATCGACACGTTCGTCGTGTATTACGAGCTTTGGTTCGGCTAGGTCGTGATCTCGTTAGGCCAAGAAACGTCGATGACACGCATCCTCGGATCTTGAACAATGGTTTGCTCATGCCGTGGTTCCGAGTATGTATCTCATTTTTAGTTGGACATGCACTTTCATGTAGGTTTCTGCGAGCATGTGAAACTTATAGCCAAACTTATTTCACTTATATAGGATTGTGTGGGAGCTTTAGATGGGACCCATGTATCCGCTTGGTGCAGAGCAGAGGTAAGAGAGAGGTTCAGAAATCGGCATGGCGACTTATCCCAGAATATACTTGCTGCCTGCGATCATGATATGCGGTTTGTCTTTGTTCGGGTCGGCTGGGAGGGTAGTGCTCATGATGCCAGAATTCTCCAAGAGACCTTGCTTGATCCGGGCTCAGGATTTCCAATGCCACCGCAAGGTAATTTAATTGAAATGCCTTTTTAGAATATATCTGGTAACGAATTACTTTTATAATACAAGGCAGTAGGAAACAGTCTCTTTTGTATTTGACAGATTATTTACAGCATTTGTTTCCGTAATAAATGAGTAGGGGCTATAACATGAAACCTATGTCATTAAATCAACAGGAAAATATTATGCAGTAGATGCTGCCTACAGAAATATGCCGGGGTTTATGGCTCCGTTTAGGGGTGCACGGGGCACACCTCATGAGCGAGCAGCTAAAGCGCTGTTCAATAGGCGACATGCATCAGTTAGGAATATTATTGAGCGTACATTTGGAGTTCTTAAGAAGCGATTTCCAATACTCAAAGGTCCAATGCAGAACTACCTGATAGCAACGCAAAATAATATTGTGCTTGCATGTTGTGCTCTTCACAATTTTATGCGCGATTATGTGCCGAATGATGAGTACTTCAATGAAGAAGCGATAAATGGTGCCTTTGCAGATGCACACATAGCAGGGGAACAAGTGCAGATGGGTCAACCTATCGATATGTCGCAGCAGGGCATAGATAACTGGAATGAAGATCGGCGGGCAATGGCGGCGCACATGTATGTGAATGCTAATAACTAGACTCTAGTGCTTGGCCTAGGACCAAAAGTGTGTTAAATCAGCTTCCGATTTGTACTTAAATGTTTAACTCACGTTCCTGGTGAATGAGGGATTACTTTTAATTTGGCTCCAGTTAATTGTGTTATTGCTTGTCCAGGGATTTGCACCTTTGTATTATATTTGCGGACTCATACTTTGCTCTACAACCTCAGTAAGTATTCAGTTTGCCGGTTTAGTTCAGGGGAGTTTGTGAATGGTGACGTACGAATAAGTCATGACCGAGTTAAGTTCTAGGCACATTTTTTACAGTGCAAAATTTGGTTGAAACTTTGCCAACTACTTTAGGAAATTGCAGGAGGGGACATAATTTAATGGCCATTATTTTGCAAAGATAGCGAACGTATTGGCCAATTACACATTTGGACCCTTAGATCCCCTGTTTTGGGGGTGTTACACATAAACTAGTTTTTGAAATACAATAAAAATTTTTAAAAAGTTGAACTTGTAAAAGGTAATCAAAAAATTAATTTTATTTTTTTAAAAAAATTTTCAAGCATGTATCTCAAAATATTTTCTAAAAACTTTTCTATTCTTAAATATTTCAAAATATTTTCCAACACCCAATCCAAAATATGCTCTAAAAACTCTGCTACAGTAAAGTTTTATTTTAAAAATTTCCCACAGAAACAGCTAATCCAAACGAAGCTGTTTTTCAAAAACAGCTCAATCCAAACGCATGTGTTTTTCAAAAAATAGAGTTTTTCAAAAACAACAATCCAAACGACAATGCGTGTTTTTTAAAAACTGCTACAGTATTGTTTTTCAAAAACACCCCCAAAAACAGGGAATCCAAACGCAGCCTATATCTGTTCCTTAAAATTATCTAGAAATTTTTCCTACTCACGAAAATGCAGAAAACAAGCCATGAAAAATAATAAAACCTAGAAAATAGAAAAAAAAACGGGTTCTCACACACAGTGTAAATTTTTATATTTTGTAATTCTGTTAAATTTTATGATTTTTTCGATCAAATATATTTTTGACATGTTCAATGTAGCAGAGTGCAAACTATTTTTGTCAAACAAATCGTGCTGGACGATTTCTAATTAGATGATTAATGATATTGACTTATGTTTTATCAAAAAAAAATTTAATGAATTATCAGGGCAACGCGTCAATATTATGCTTTTTTTTTGTTTTTATTAAATGTTATTTTGATATTTTGGCGAATCTAAAAGAATGGTTAGCTTTTTAAGAAAAGATACATTAATACTACATTAATGATATTGACTATAATATTTTGATCATACCTTTTTTTTTTTTTTTTTTGTCAACACAGGGGTGTCCGGGTCAAGACCCGAAAGCGGCCCGACTAATCCCCTGCGCCTGGAGTACAGCACCACCCCAACCGCACCCAGGCGTTAAGTGAGGTTCGATCCCACGACCTGCGAGTGCCGGAAGCAGCCACAGACCGCGTGATCTAGCCCCGGGGGTATTTTGATCATACCAGGTGAGTCCAAAAAACAGCAGAACTCGGAGAGGGTCTCTGAACCACTCGAAGGCGAGCCCAATATCTGCGCCAGCCAATAGCTATTCGGGACTGGGACGACGCCTCTATCTCATCGATATATCCAAATTAATTTAATTTAAATAAATGGAAGAGAGTTAAGAAGACGAAACAGGGGTAAAAGAAAAAACAAAAAGAAGAAAGGAAGGATCGATGTGGAATAAAATTATAAATAATACTTAAAAGAAAACAAGAATCAGAAAAAGACCCCAAAAAAAAAAAAAGGAGGAGATTCATTCAGTTGCAACCGACCTTAACCACCTGTTCTAGTGGCTTTGTAGTATTATCAGCTGGTCATAACTACAAGAACAAGTGGTGGTGGTGGCCCCTGGAGTACCAGTTACCACAACCGCCTTCCGGACCTGAATCTAAATCTGAATCTGAATCATCATCCACTGGTTTCGAGCTGCAGGTCATCCACCGTCGGCTCCTTTTTCTCCTTCTTCTTTGCGTGGGACTTGCGTCTATCTTCCTCGATCGGCTTAAAAATATACCTGCCAGCCAGGTGCATAGATTAAGTTAGTCTGCTCCGCTTCTTCGTCTGTTTTACATCCCGCCAACTCGATGATTTCCTTCTCCTCCCCTCCCGCTCAGTAATAGGCCGTTATTATTTGTACTAGTTGCTGCTACATTTCCACTTTCGCTTCTCTTTTATATATATATATATAT